TCGAGAATAGGACTCACAGTGTAACATACATATCAGACAACTTATCTAGTATCCATAGATATAAGACTGAGAAAAGATTTCGCTAGTGTGTTTAGACAGGGACATATCGTATCCGTCAAACCAGTGGTTGTGACTGCAACATGTATGAAGTTAATGGAACAGTAAAATACCTGCAGTTGTTGTTAAAAATCTCCTGCGAGTGGTGTTTCACAACAAAAATTAAGTCATCAATTTGTTGGAGCAGTTTTTGTACAGAAGGGCACCCCTGCCAAAACATCTTTTTATTGTGCACGAGCGTTAAGTATCAATTGAGGTCTGTAAACGCCATACGATTGGGAAGAGAGTTAATTCTTAGAAATGGGACGTTTACAGTTTGAAAGTTCAAATCATCACGTTCATCATAGATTCAACAAACCTAGCATACGATAGGACCCTGTCTTGATATTTAATTCACAAAACTAATAGATTTTAAATCAGTTAAAAAAACTGAAATAGTCAGTTCTATCTTTTTTTTCATACCACAAGAACATAGCATATTTTAATTCATTGATTGATTGGTTGGTTGTTGTTTGCTTTATATTCAGATGGAGAATATATTAACGAATGTAAAGTTCAAATTTTCTACAGGACATGCCATTGTCACAGTTCAATTCGTACAGCCAAGCTGACAGTGTTTTAATCAAGGCTTTTAACCCTATCATTGAACCAGAAGATTCCCGAATTTCTATATTCATGTCAATCCTTGAGGTACATATGTTTGAAACAAATAATCAAATCAAAAACAATTTAAAATACAAAAGTTACCAATATGAGTTCCTATTATAGCATTGGTCATATCTGAGCTAGACGTTGGTTATATTATGAAAACGTTTTAATTAGATAGGTAACTAAAATAAACAAACAGTTCCGCAAGACTTAGCCTTATCTTAGATTGAGTAAAATTGCGCAACACTTACCTTACCAACAAAAAACGGGATGAACTCAGGTATTCCGGGAGGGTAAAAAATCCTCGTCGTACTGCTCATGTAAGTACAAATTTGGTGATCATTTTTTTTATGGATGTGTCCGAAACAAGGAAAAGAGTATGGAATAGTGGTTACTAAAATTAGAACATATCCGTGGTCATCTGTTACACAGATATAACACAACGGTCGACGAATTTGAGATGGCGTCCGACATTTTCTCACAGAAATGACTAAATTCATCCCTTCTGAAATGTTCATTCTGATCAAAGAGTCATATAGAATGTGCACAATATATATATATGCCATGAAGAATCCGTGAAAGTTTGATTGAAATACATTAACCTTAATTCTCTTTCATCCTGAATCCTTGGTTGCATTTTCATTTAAATCCTTTTCTTTCATGATTTTTTATTACAAAGGACGATTTTATTGTAATGATATGAAAATTATGAACTATTCGATTGAGGATTGTCGAAAACATTAGACGTAACCGATGTTATTCGAGTATTTCTAGCGATCATGTGGATACTCTATACTTAGTTGCTACTTAAAAATAGAACGTTAGCTGAAATCTGTTGGACGTGTACTGAATGATATTTTAGTCTGGGAAACTTGTGTAATTTATTAGTTGTTAATTGTCGAATATTACGCTATCAAAGTATGGAGAAGATTCAACTGTGTCTATGCCATCCTCTATTAAAGTTATTCTTTTATAGAATCGATCACTGTTTTTACCAGAATTTGAATAATTCATTTTCGAAAAATACAAATTGACAGTCGACGCGGATAGCGGCGTTGTAATTTCCCATTCAACAAGACCAGGTACGCTAGAAAGATAGAGGCAAAATACCAAAGGGATATTCAAACTGATATGTCGAAAAGAAACTGACAATGCCATATAAAAAACGGGGGAAAAACGACAAAAAAACAAATAACATTTAACAAAACATAACATAGAAAACTGAAGACTGAGTAACACAAACCCCACCAAAATCCGGGGGTGATGCTCCTGAAGGATAAGCAGATCCTACTCAACTAGTAGCACCCGTAGTGTTGCTCTAGAGATAAGTATAATTTGGTAGGTTACATTTGATGAAAAGAGAACGGGATTGAGGTTAATACTTTTCAGAAGAAAGAAAACGAAGTTAGCATGATCTTTTAACTTCCCTTTCCGTTATAAGGATGATGTTCTCTCACTAAATAATTCAAAAATTTGGTGACTATGTTGAACGCATCTAGCAATGTCTAACCCATCCAACTTGAGATAACGGATACAATAGATACAGTTAAGTCTGCCTCATATATTGACTTGCATCTAGAAATTGAAAATGAAGGTTGGTTGATAACAAATGTTAACGACAAAAGAGATGAGTACACCTTCCCAATTGTGAACTTTCTATTTCTATGAAGAATACGATATTCCAGGGCTTGTATTTCCTATCATGATTTCCTTGATAGAGGGTTGCTGTTCACAAGGAAGCTATTTAACCAAGTCTTCCAAGTGGTGACATTGAAATCATCCCTTCGTAAATTTTAAAGACGCCATCACGAGTTGGTTGACCGTTATAAAATATCTGTTTCACAGATGACGACAAGAATGTTTCAAATGTTGTAACTACAATCCCGTTCCCTTTCCCCGAATGTGACATATCGAATTAGAATTATTCCCGCATGTGTACTAATATGAGCAACACGACGGGTGCCACATATGAAGCAGGATCTGCTTACCCTTCGTTTTGGGTGGGTTTTGTGTTGCTCAGTCTTTAGTTTTCTATGTTCTGATATGTGTACTGTTGTTTGTCTGTTGGTCTTTTTTCATTTTCAGCCATGGCGTTGTCAATTTATTTTCGTCTTATGAGTTTGAATGTCCCTCTGGTATTTTTCGCCTCTCTCTTTTGAGCATATTCGTCGTCATCTGTAGAACAGATATTCAATAACTGATATTCATTAATTGCAATACGAAATACTTTAACGTATAAGACATTTATTTATTAAATCGCAGATTCAGACATGAAAAGAAGATGAGCTATCTGAATGCAATATGTCTATATCTAAAACTCTTAAAACGATAGTTCGTGAAAATGCAGAGAGACTAAAGCTATAAAAGTATTGTAGTTAACCAGAGCATCCTTTGTGTCACATTCGTTTGTTTATTTTCCTTTGAATTCTGACATTTTAATTTCATCGAAATTCGAAAAGAGAATGAATACATCAAATGAAATTATGACAATGTTATCTTCTACGTTTTTAAGGATATGGTCTCACATTATCTAATATAAGTGTAGCAAATGATCTTAAAATGCAACCTTTTGGTGCTGAGTCAACATGTGAAACCCACATCCTGACGAATTATTTTATATTCTTCTTTAACCTTAAGCACATTCCAAGTTTCGTACAAGACGACGTATGATCCGAATAGGCAACATGCCTTTACGATAGATTTGAGCGCGATGGATTCGATTTATTTAGTTGTTTGGGGGTCCAGGAAGTTTCTCTTGTGAACTATTTCTTGGGTGCTGTAGCCCTACAACGGGTAAGGGTTAATTCCTCTGAATTTATATAAAACCGGCGCCATAAAAGATCTCTAATCTTCGCTTAAATTGACAGAATGCAAGCTTCAGGTGTTTACTTTTTAGATTTTAATAATAGTATTACGTTTTCTGAACATGTTACTATATGTATTCAAAATTCAAAAAGTCCAAAACTGCAATTTCGAAAGGTTTTGTCTTATGTTGGGCTCAAACAAATACGAAGGACATGTTAAGCTCAAATTTTAAGCGTTTTATTTCCGAAACGACATAATTCATGTTTGCTAGATAAACTGACTTCAATGAATAGAATTATATAACAGTTTAACTCCATGGATATGAATGATTGTTTGAATGATGCTTGATTAACATGTAGTGAGGATATGTAGAGAATTGCTATATTTGCGAAGGAAACAAATTAAGGTAATTGTCCATACCTCTTTATATACGCGTTTTGCATCTCGTATTACAAATAAAATATAAACTTATATTAACCATTCAATACCCGTCAAACGACATCTCTGTTTTTGGAAGTTTACCGGAAGGTTGAATTACATGGCCATTTTGAATTTGCACATCACTGAAATTGAAACTGCAACATATAATAGATGGCTTCTGGAATACATATGCAGATGTATGAAGATACCATTACATATAAAAACGACCACACATAAGAACCCATTAAGATTGATAAGAAGGACAACAATTTTATCATATCGTGGAGACAATGATTCAATATTTTGGACATACAAGTGAGAGGTTTAGCGCTATAAAACGATGTTCAATCCACCATTTTTTACATTTGAAAATGCCTGTACCAAGTCAGGAATATGACAGTTGTTGTCTATTCGTTTGATGTGTTTTATCATTTGATTTTGCCGTTTGATTAGGGACTTTCCGTTTTGAATTTTCCTCGGAGTTCAGTTTTTTTGTGATTTTATTATTTATATTGATTCTTGTAGTATCCTTGGTGTATTCATAAAAAAGACTAACTGTGACTTATTTTGCACATCGTTATTTTACGTTACGTAAGTTAATACATTTTGTTAGGGGCGGATTCGGGATTTTAGTTTAAAGGTGATAGTCCTTTACATTTTAATGCCAAAGTGACTTTAACTGACCATTGTTCACTTTTATATTGTATTTACAATTCTCCGTTTCACATACCAAAGTACTATTGGTAATTGTATTGTGAGAAACTTAAAACTGAAATAACGTCAGGTCATTTGTTAAATCTCCATTGTTTATAACATCTTTAGCCAATCAAAACGTTTTAGTGTACGCTTTTGAAAATATTACTCAGAATGCATTATATTTTGAAACGGCGCATTATTCTTTTAGAGGATTCAGCCTCCCTAATTTTATATTAAAACACGTGCGTTACATTAACTTCACTTTACGGACGTTGTGACAAAGACAACTACAATAAAGATCATTATGGAATTTTGCTGTTCTGCAGCTATAAATGCGTTAACGTAAGACATTCATTAATTTTTTTTAATTGCAGATTCACTTATTGATTTGAAAATGGCAAACCTGGATAGAAGAATAGATGAGCTATCACAATCCAATACGTCGATAGCTGAAATTTTCAAAAAGATGGTTCCTGAAAATTCAGAGAGAGGTACGCTATAAAAAGTATTGCAGTTACCAACAGCTTTCTTTATGTCATATTTGTGTGTTTATTTTCCTTTGAATCAATCCCGACATTTATTTTTATCGTTAAAGTTTGTCATTGCCCTTTTTGGTCGTCTTTAAGTGTCTACCACGTGATTAATAATAAAATCGACAAAAAAAAAAAAAAATAACGTATGATTGGTATCAGAAACCTAGACACAATAAATGAAATTTTACCGGTAGGTCACGTTTCTCATACTAGAAATGTCCAATAAAATAGCATACGTATAGAACTAGACGTACGTACCTAAGCTGACTGAAATAATCAGTGTTTGCTTTGATGATACAATGTATAGATTCACAAATTCCCTGGAAAGAATAATTTTAGAACGTATGTTACGGATTGTACAGTGTGGTATTGTTTAACGGGAATGCTATAATACTACATGAATCCAAATATATTGTTGTACAATAGAAAAGACCAAATCCAGGCAAAATCTTTCACTAAGCTTGAAGAATATTGACTTATATTATTTTAGCATTTGTCATAACTAAGAAACAAATAAAATAATATAATGAGATATCGATGCAGAATGCAGTCACTACGGCATTTTAATTTTTGCCTTTTTGTTACTTTTTCCAACGATGTGCAAAATATCACGATCTTGTGCAACGCTTAAATTTAAATATCGACTTGATTTACAATAAGATTTCATTATATATGTAATTTGATTATATGGCATACATATTTTGCAAGCAAATGATACTTCTTTGTTTGTAAGTCGGTAGATAATATCAATATAAAAGATACACATACATGTATATTTAAAACATATGAAACAAGAACATGTGGACATAAGACACTGTGTCCGCTCAAGGTTTCACATTTCCATGTTCAGTAAATCCTTTAAATCCTTGTCAAACACATGATTTTAAATCTAATAAGGGATGGACGAACAGACAATATAATGTCCACTACTTTCAGAGGTTTATGAAGAAACTGGAAAGGATGATTCTAAATAATAATTGCATTACATATTTTGTATGAAAATAATGAGATGCGGTATAATTGCTTATGGAAAGTTAGCCACAAGAGTTCAAAAGATGAAGATACAAGCAATTAATTGAGTATCACCATAAGGGAAAAAACCAAACCGTATACACAGGCAAATTTTGTTCACGTAAATTTCACGTGAAAATCACGTGAATTTCACATGAAATTTTTCACGTGAGATTCACCTCAAACGAGCTTATACATGAAACTCACGTGAAACTCACGTTAAATTTTACGTGAATTTCACGTGAATCAAGCTTTCACGTGATATTCACGTGAAATTTTTCACATGAAATTAACGTGAATCGAGCTTTCACGTGAAATTCACGTTAAATTTTTCACGTGAAATTAATGTGAATCGAGCTTTCACATTATTTTTTTTAAATGAAATTAAGGTGAATTGAGTCTCAATCACACAAATTTCACAGTATTTGTGCATATTTTAGATAAGTAAATACTTATCTAGTACACATTCTATTTTGATATACATCTAAATATTCTTCTTGGTCTTGACGAGGTATTCATACTTCCATTCTATTTTACCTTCTCTTTGTATCTTAAATTTCTTGGTCATTAACAATACAAATAGTATGTATTCATCAACTCCAACTCACAATATCTTCAATGCAGCAGATAAGATGCAATAAAACCAAGAAGGCAAGCAAGGTTTCACTCCTAGAACATTTTTTGTTGTATTCAAGTCTCAATATTTTTTTAATTTGATGTATGGAAGGTGATTCATTTATAGAAGATCTATGCACTGATGTATATTTCATTTTTATAGTGTATGTATAAGTCTTTTTGTGTTCATCAGTTTTGAGACATTCCAATCACATTATGGAAGAGTCTTACTTGCAAAAGATGCCAATTCTTCTAATGAGAGTTTTGAAGAAAAAAGGTAGTTCACCCTGCCACATACTCATGTACTCTGGTCAATTAAACAGATCATGACATATTGTTTAGACACCTGTCTATTGTTGAGGACTGTATGTCAGGTGTTTTTGTTGTTGTGTTACTGTCTGATTGATTTATACCTCATATCTCATTGTATTAATAAACTGAAATAGAAAGTTCTGTGAAATATATTTGATATACCATATTGAAAGTCTTGCTGTTATTTACAACCATTTCCTTCTTATTTCATATATGGTTTTCAGTTTTTCATTTTAACACTGATCTTAAGGCTAAGTCAAAAAGAAAATAAATGTTGACAAACAACAGGCATATACCATTAAAAGATCTCCAAGTTTGGCTGCACAATAAGCTAAAAATTCTTGTTATTTAAAATATTTTATATAAAATTCATTTTAAAACAAGCATTTTCCATTTTTAGACAGTAACTGTCATGTTGACACAATAATTTGAATTTGAATTGTATTATATGCTGAAAGTACTTGTGGTTGAAAAAAATATACACAATATTTAATTCCAGGTGTTTTGATTTCTAGAATGCACCACTCCAATATCATGACTACATGTTAGTAATGTTTAAGTGTTCTCTCCTGCATGTAATTGCTACATGTATTTGTACACAAGGCTTCCTTCATACATTTGCACTTATCCTTCTAAGATGTTGCTTCAATGATAAAATCCTGTAGTTGCATAATCAGCCATAAACTCTTGGAATACATTTGCTGTAATAAAAAAAAACCCCAGCATATATTATTTTGTAAAATATACATCAAGTTAAATATTGCCTTACCATTCAAGCAAAAATGATAACATCAATTTAATATCTAAACTTACCGGGTACATATATATATATACTTTTATAAATTGTGACTTGGATGGAAAGTTGTCTCATTGGCACTCATACCACATCTTCTTATATCTATGTACAAAAAAAAATGATGTATATAATCATACATGTATATTGTGTGTCGGATTAACTGGAGTGGAATATTAATAGTTGTTGTTTGTTGCTGCACTACTTTTTGATTACCTCTGCTATGGAGGTTGTGGAGGTTTATAATGGTTGAAATTTGCCATGAAACCTGGAATTTGTAAACATTACAGATGAAAATCAAAATGCTCTGATCATTCTGATGATATAAACCTATTTAATATTAATTTCATAAAATTCTGGCAAGAATTGTATACAAGAGCCCTAACAATGCAATTTTCCAAATAATATATGTTTCCAAGGGGCATAACTCTTTTAAAAATGATTGATTGGCACTGATTTTAAAACTTGTCAGACATTGTTGATATAACCTATCAAAATAAGTTTCCTAAAAATTTGACAAGAATTGTACAAGACATGCAAGTGAGAGCGCTTATAAGGCCAATGGGATAGACGTATCACCAAGGAAAAATGAGGTATTTTTCCTTAGCAATATTTTTGAATAGTATTGTTTAAAATTTTATATAAATCTATATTTTCTTTATTACTTTTAGTATGAATTAAAGTGTTAGAATATCAACATGTCAAAACTCAGTAAGGGCTTATTGCAAATTAATTATAATTCACATCTCAAAGAAAACATAATTAGACTGGCTTTAAAATGGATTAGGGATTAAGGTAAACTTGAGGTAAAGCTATTAGCACCTTCAAAATATTACAATAAGACTGTAATTAGCTATTTCCTATTTAAGATAAAATACAATAGAAGTGTTATATTTTAGTTACATAATTTATACTTTAACTTTACATTGTAATTGATAAAAAGGTATCTAAGGGACCATATGTTTAAAAGTCAGAATTAAAATATTTACCCTCCCCTTTTTGGGAGTTATGTATTTTGATTGGTCAAGTAACTAGGATATACATTAAATGATTATTGAGATTTAGGAGGATGGGTTTAGAAAGGGACATGGATATATATTAACTTTGTGTAATTTAGAGGAGGAGAGATTTTCAGGCTTTGTTCACATGATGGTGACTTAGTCGCATATTCGTTTACATGTATGACTTGTGTTGTAAATATGAATGCTTATCTATTCGAGAATAATTAATATACAATCATCAAACTTAGTGTTTTATTGACTTCTTGTGCGGTAAATTAAAGTAAACCAGACAATGCGTTACCTATGCTCACTATTCAGAGTTAGTTCCCTTACAAAATAATATGATCAGAACTAGGTCGCAGAATGTCAGCTAGTTCCCCCAGTTATTGACATGCGATCCAGTCCGGTCATAGACGGACTCCAGGTATTTTTATGTCCCCACTGTTTTATGGTGCTTGTCCAAAAGATATAAGAATAATTATAATTTTAAGATAAGTATCAAATAAACTTAACATTACCAATGATTCATGAAAATATACTGTCAAGCAAATATTAAGGTCAAAGTTCAGATAAACCAAGCCAGACAGACATGTGCACCTTACAACATGTACAATTATTGCATACACCAAACTAGAGGCTCCAAGGAGCCTGTGTCTCTCACCTGATATTTTTATTTACAATTGATGCATGAAATAATGCAACCGTTATAAATACTTTTGCTTTAGTTTCAGAGAAATAATTAAAAAACTGCATTTTCCCTCTATGTTCTATTTTTAGCCATATCTGCCATGTTTTTAAAAACTAGATACCCTAATGATGATTGTGGCCAAATTTGGTTTATTTGTCTCTGTTGTTTCAGGAGAAGACTTTTGTAAATTAAAAAAAATTACGAAAAATTGTTAAATTTGATTTAAAGGGCAATAACTCCTTATCAGGTCAATTGACCATTTTGGTCATGATGAGTTATTTGTAGGTCTTACTTTGCTGAACATTATTGCTATTTACAGTTTATCTCTATCTATAATAATATTCAAGATAATAACCAAAAATGTGGATTGTGTCCATGCATGGACACAGATGATGCCCCCGCTTGCATATCATAAAAGATATAAAGGGACATAACTGAAGAACGGTAAAAGTGACTCTACCTAAATTTGTACTTGATCTGAGTTTTGTGGTAATAAGCATTGTGTAAAAGGAAAATTCAGCAATTTTTATGTTTATAAAGGGGCATACCTAAAGAACGGTAAAAGTGACACCACCCATTTTCAAACTTGATCTGTATTATAAGTGTGGTAATAAGCATTGTGTATAAGTCTCATAACATTTGGTTGAGGCAAACTAAAGTTAGAGAACGAAAACAAATTAAACTGAGTTTTGTGGTAAAAAGCATTATATATACATTTCATTACATTAATTTAAGACAAACTCAAGTTAGGGGACGACCATTTGATATTCTGGGGGGGGGGGGGGGGGGGGGGGCGCCAGTAGGATTTTGAAAATAAATAACTCAGCCTTGATAATAACAACAAGAGGCTCTCAAGAGCCTGAATCGCTCACCTGTATTTCAGAGGAGAAGATTTTTAAATGTAAGCAAACTTGATGAACAAATTGTGTAAAATTGTCTTTAAAGGGCAATAACTCCTTAAGGGGTCAATTGACAATTATGGTCACATTAACTTTTTTGTAGATCTTACTTTGCTGAACATTATTGCTGCTTACAGTTTATATATATCTATAATAATATTCAAAATAATAACAAAAAACTGCAAAATTTTGTTAAAACTACCAATTCGGTGGCAGCAACCCAACAATGGGTTATTCGAATCGTCTGAAAATTTCAGAGCTGATAGTGTCACAGGGTGACTTTGTTTACTCACATATATGTTGTTATTTTGGTTGTTAATTCTATTTCGATTTTCAGAACGTCAGTATCTTATAAATGCTATATTCTGCAGACTTCGGTGTATAATACATGTCCACATTTTACATCTAATTAATTAAGTAGTGGCCACTATTTACTTGGGCATTTACCTGTAAACTTGTCGAACGGGTTGAGTAACAGTGATACCTGTATTTGATGAGCTGACTATTCACTCTCAGGTAACACCTTAACGAGTCAAGGTGTGGTCAGAAATGTTTGTATAAAGTTAGTTTACAATGTGGCGTGGACACACACGCTGGATTTCTGAGGTAGGATTCAATTTATTCTTATTTATTTAATCATTATTCGTTCTAAAGTGTTCAGTTTTCTGCAACAACGCAAATATAGAATAATTTTTCAATTGTAATTGTAATTTTTGACATTGCTATTTTATAAATGTAATAAGTTAATTAATGTTCATTATAATGAAAGTTTAACACGGTTATATGTTTCCGGCTGTAGTAAATATTCGAGTATCGAAATTGTTTGGTATTTTAGGAACGTTTGCGTACGATAATGCAATGATGTATGTATCTCCATAAGTATGTAAAGTAATATGCAACGTATAAGCATAAATGTATATTCAGCGTTAAAAGCTGTATATTGTGTGTAGTAATTGTATAATGATAGTATACACTAAAGTCAATTATGTGACTTGTAAAGTAAGGCATTGTACGATATGCCGTAGTTTGTATTGTGTAAAGTAAGGCATTATACGATATGCCGTAATTATTTGTGTATAAGTAATGCATTATTCAATATGCTATAATCTTCTATAGATTGAACATAAGTAGTCGTACTAAGTATTTGTCATTATTTATGCGACATGTGTAATACATAAACATATGTATATTTCTTAAGTATAGTATTGTATCTTAACGTACAGTATGTATTTCAATAGGTCCCAGTTTGCGGGCTAGGTGTATGTAGTTTTGTATTGTAAAGTATGGAGATATAGTACAGATGGTGGTGAAACCTGTTGACAGTGCGGCGTTCCGTGTTTATCATCAATAGTTTGGCAACATAGAATATTTGGAGTCGAGTCTAGACAATAGGGCAGCCGTAATGTGTACACCGCTTATGTTGGGCCAGTTTTGTGTAGTTACCGAAAACCAAATACGTAAAATTCCGTAGTATCGTTTATCCAGATTTCATAGTTTAATATAAAGAAGAAGGAACAGTTCATTAAACATTTGACAGTATTATTTCATTTGATTTCATCTATTTATATTTGTAAATTTGTACCTAATTAAATTGTTATTTGTTTAAAGTAGTAGTCATTTATTATCTGTAAGTACAAACTCCTAAGTCAGCTCTCGTCTATCCGTGACAATTGGTGTCAGAAGTGGGATTTGTTTAAAAGGCTTAGAGAGTTTTCATTAAATTTAAGTTTTCAATCTTATGTATTTTTGATTGTATTTTTTTTTCACCATGTATTTTTCCATTTGTATTGTTTTATTATATGTTTTAATTGTATAGCTTCAGGTGTTTGTGAGGAGAACTGAATATTTGGGACCCAGATTTCACAGTTGTGTCGATGTTGGTTCGTGCCTTGGAGGTTTGGTGTTGTTTCTGCTCTACATTGTAAACTGTAAGTATCGGTACTTACATATATTTAGTAATTGATTGTAGTACACTGAGGGTTGCAGTAGGTACATTGAGTGCTGGCGTTTTGTTTTTTTTGAAATTGGTGTTTGGTTTGTTGACTGTTCAAGATGGAACAGATTCAACAGATTAGAGATTGGGTACTTCATTAGGGTATGAAGATGATGAGTTGAGAAGGTTTGTTAAAGATCAGCAGGATAGGGTCCGAGATGAAAGGGCTGCTTTAAGGGAAGAACAGAAAGACGAACGAGATAGAAAAGCAGCTATAGAAAAAGTTTTGATTGAGAAAGCTAAGGTTGAGAATGAATTGGAACTACAAAAGTTGACGCATAGTCAGAAAATGGAAGAGTTAAGTAAACAAGCTGAGTTACCACAATTAGTAAGTACAGGGGGGTCACATGATACAGTTCGTGGACCTAAAATTCCAGCTTTTGAAGAAGGTAAGGATGAGATAGATAGTTATCTTAGGAGATTTGAGCGTTATGCTACTGCTCAAAAGTGGAAACCTGATATTTGGGCCACTCATCTTAGTGCGTTATTGAAGGGCAAGGCTCTTGATGTATATGCACTTATGCCGGTTGATAAAGCTCTTGATTATCCAGCTTTGAAAGATGCTCTACTAAAAAGGTATGATATGACTGAAGAAGGATTTAAACGTAGATTTAGAAGTTGTAGACCAGAGCCAGGTGAGACTTTTATACAGTTTTCTGTTAGGTTAGATAGCTATTTTAAGCGTTGGATTGATATGGCACATACAGATACTACTTATATAAGTTTGTATGACTTGATTATACGGGATCAGTTTCTACATATATGTTCGAAGGACTTGTCTTTGTTTTTAAAAGAGAGAATACCAGATTCTTTAGAGAAAATGGTAGCTTTAGCTGATCAGTATCGTGGAGCAAGACAAACAAGTGCTTCCAATCTTATAGATAAAGGTAATCAGTCAAACACATCTTCAGTAAGAAACCAAAGTGGTTCGAAACCAGTTGATTATAGTACAAAGAAAGAACAGAGAAGTATAAAACCAACAGAACGTACTTCATTTGTACCTAATAGGGACAGAAAGTGCTTTAGGTGTGGTAAGAATGGACATATTGCAACGGATTGTAGAGTTAATCTACAAAAGACCAACAGTGGATCGTCAGACGATAGAAAGAATTTTAAAGGTAAAGTATGTAATACCTGTACTATACCTACAGATTCTATAGTAGATGCTATTCCTACTGGTTGTACAAGTACACTTCCGTTGTCTTGTCAGTCAACCGCAAATGTAAGTATGCCTGTAAGTTCAGGTTATGTTGATGGTAAACCAGTCACGGTTTTACGAGATACTGGTTGCAGTGGTATTGTGGTTAAACGTGATATGGTTGGCAATGAGTCATTAACGGGTGGAAAACAGGTATGTATTTTGGCAGATAGAACCAGAGTTGAAGTGCCAATAGCTAGAATTGATATAGATACACCATATTTACAGGGAGAATTTGAAGGATGGTGTATTGCTAATCCTGTGTATGACTTGATAATTGGTAATGTAGAGGACGCTAGAGAACCAGGAAAGCCTGATCCTTTGTGGCAACAAACGGGAGCTGTTGAGACAAGAGAACAGGTAAGAAACTAAAGAAAGCCGTTTGTGCAACTGAAGGTAAAAGATATCATCACAGATGAGGTAAATCCAAATGTAATCAAGAAAGCTCAACTAGAAGATACAACGTTGGATAAAATAAGAAGGTATGTATTAACGGGTGATACAGTTACACGGAAGAATGGAAAAGTAAAGTGGATTTTAAAAAGAGGTATGATATACAGACAGTTTTCGTCGTCAAAACCTGATAGGGTAAGTTGTACTCAGTTAGTAGTTCCGAAGTTTCATCGCGAGACAGTGACGAGAGTAGCACATGAGTCGATTATGTCAAGTCACATGGGTACACAGCGTATACTTGATAGAGTATTATCAGCTTTTTATTGGCCAGGTGTTTCGGCGGATGTTAAGCGATTTTGTCAGTCTTGTGACATATGCCAGCGTACAGTTCCTAAAGGAAAAATAGGTAAGGTACCTTTACAGTCTATGCCGTTGATAGATGAGCCGTTTAAACGCGTAGCAGTTGATCTCATTGGACCTCTTTTTCCTAGAACAGACAGAGGTAGTAGATATATACTGACTTTGGTAGATTATGCTACACGTTATCCTGAAGCAATAGCTTTGAAGGATATTGAGACAGAGAGTGTTGCTGAGGCATTAGTAGATATATTTTCTAGAGTAGGAGTTCCACAGGAAAGGTAAACTGATATGGGAAGTCAGTTTACATGTAAGCTTATGGCTGAGGTAAGTAGACTCATATCGCTTAGACAGTTAACTACAACTGTTTATCATCCTATGTGTAATGGGTTAGTAGAGAGGTTCAATGGAATTCTAAAACTGATGTTGAAGAGAATGTGTCATGAACGACCTAAAGATTGGGACAGGTATGTAAATGCATTACTGTTTGCATACAGGGAAGTTCCACAGGAGAGTCTGAAGTTTTCGCCATTTGAGCTCGTGTATGGTAAACAGGTGAGGGGACCTATGGCAATATTAAAGGAGCTATGGACTAAAGAGATAGACGATCCTGAGGTAAAGTCTACATATCAGTACGTGATAGATTTAAGAGAGAGATAAGAAGCTACCTGTGAGCTTGCTCGAAGTAATTTGGCGTCTGCATCAAAGAAGAATAAGGTATATTATGATAAATCGACCAAGCAAAGACATATGAAGGTAGGTGAAAAGGTTCTTGTGCTCTTACCTACGGATAAGAATAAACTGTTGATGCAGTGGAAAGGTCCTTTTACTATTACTGAGAAATTTGGTAAGGTAGACTACAGAATACAGATGAATGGGAAGATTAAAACGTTCCATGCAAACTTATTGAAAAGGTATGTGGAAAGGTGTGACGTAGATGATGATTTAACAGTGGTAAGTTCTGCAGTGATAGATACTGATAGTGACCAAGTGGATGTTTATGATGAGATTCATGAAATACCTTTTACTGATTCAGGTGAGAATGCTAGTCATATTGATGTTAATCCAGACTTGGATGAAAATCAGATATTACAGGTAAAGGAATTGCTGTTTTCATTTCCTGAAGTCTTTACTGATTCTCCAGGATGTACCGATCTTCTGCAGCATGACATTAAATTGTCCAGTGAAACGCCTATAAGGATGAAACCGTATCCTATTCCATATAGTATGTTAGACACAGTAAATGCTGAGGTTAGTAAAATGTTAGACCTTGGAGTTATAGAAGCATCTACGAGTCCTTATGCGTCACCGATCGTCATTGTTAAGAAGAAGGACAATACAAACCGATTTTGTATTGATTTTAGGTCGTTAAATAGCCAGACTTTGTTTGACGCTGAACCGATGGGGAATGCAGAAGAGATGTTTTCTAAGTTAGCAGGACATAAGTACTTTTCACGAATCGATTTATCAAAAGGATATTGGCAGTTACCGTTATCAGAGGATGCCAAACCGAAAACCGCTTTTCAAACACCTAAAGGTTTGTTTCAGTTTCGTAGAATGCCGTTTGGACTGGTTACTGCGCCAGCTTCTTTTTGCAGATTAATGAGAATATTGTTAAAAGGTATGGAGAATATAGATAATTTCATAGATGATATAATCATCTTCACCTTGACATTTGAGCAACATTTAGAGGTACTGTATGAACTTTTGGTCAGACTTAAAGGGGCAAATCTTACCGCTAGACCTAGTAAGTGTTCCATAGGTTATGGTAGTCTAGAGTGTTTAGGTCATTTTGTCGGTGATGACAAACTTAAACCTCATCCAGACAAGGTTAAAGCGATAGAAGAAGCTCCACGACCAGTTACAAAGAAACAGGTAAGGTCTTTTCTTGGATTAGTTGGGTTTTACAGGAAGTTTATTCCAAACTTCTCCTGTATTGCACTTCCACTTACTGATCTGACGAAGAAAGGACAGCCTAGTACTGTTGTTTGGGAAAATGCACAGGAGAATGAATTTCAGTCTTTAAGGTGTGCTTTAGTTAGGTTTCCTATATTGAAATTACCAGATTTCACTCAGATTTTTGTTCTGATGACTGATGCATCAGATAGAGGGATTGGGGCAGTACTGATGCAGTATCAAGAGAACTCCAAGATGCCTATTGCATATGCAAGTAGGAAACTTAAGAAGAGTGAAGTGGCTTATTCCACTATTGAAAAAGAGTGTTTAGCCATCGTTTGGGCTGTGCAGAAATTTCAGAGGTATTTATACGGTAGAGAATTTATACTTGAGACTGACCACCAGCCACTTACTTATCTTAATAAGAAGAAAGTAGAGAATGCTAGACTTATGAGGTGGGCATTAGCTCTACAGCCTTACAGATTTAGAATTGTAGCAGTTAAAGGTATAGATAATGTGGGTGCAGATTATCTCAGTAGAGTTTAGGATGTAAATATTACAGTGTTTTGTTTTATAATGAATAGTAAGTAGTGAAGATTTGATAGTGTTAGTTTTATTTTGTTGAACAGTCTAAATATCACAGGACTAGATTTGAAATGGTGACAAACCGTGATGTTGTGGGCAGGATATGTCGTGACATAACACTTTGAATATGTTTAAGTTATGAGGCGACAAGACCTGATAATGATCCTTATTCATCTTTTAGGTGAGTATATGTCGATTTGTTGTAAGGGTCGGTTGGTATTTTATTTGGACCTGGTCAAGAGTCGAGTACTGTCCGGTAGTGTCGTTAGTATGATTAGTTTGTCTTTTGATTTGGACTAGTTTATTTGCATTGATGGGTTTTTGTATGTAAATCTATTTCTGTTTATATATATTTTTTATTATCAGTACTTCGTACTTCTTTTTGTGGGGAGGAACTGTCACAGGGTGACTTTGTTTACTCACATATATGTTGTTATTTTGGTTGTTAATTCTATTTCGATTTGCAGAACGTCAGTATCTTATAAATGCTATATTCTGCAGACTTCGGTGTATAATACATGTCCACATTTTACATCTAATTAATTAAGTAGTGTCCACTATTTACTTGGGCATTTACCTGTAAACTTGTCGAACGGGTTGAGTAACAGTGATACCTGTTTTTGATGAGCTGACTATTCACTCTCAGGTAACACCTTAACGAGTCAAGGTGTGGTCAGAAATGTTTGTATAAAGTTAGTTTACAATGTGGCGTGGACACACACGCTGGATTTCTGAGGTAGGATTCAATTTATTCTTATTTATTTAATCATTATTCGTTCTAAAGTGTTCAGTTTTCTGCAACAACGCAAATATAGAATAATTATTTCAATTGTAATTGTAATTTTTGACATTGCTATTTTATAAATGTAATAAGTTAATTAATGTTCATTATAATGAAAGTTTAACACGGTTATATGTTTCCGGCTGTAGTAAATATTCGAGTATCGAAATTGTTTGGTATTTTAGGAACGTTTGCGTACGATAATGCAATGATGTATGTATCTCCATAAGTATGTAAAGTAATATGCAACGTATAAGCATAAATGTATATTCAGCGTTAAAAGCTGTATATTGTGTGTAGTAATTGTATAATGATAGTATACACTAAAGTCAATTATGTGACTTGTAAAGTAAGGCATTGTACGATATGCCGTAGTTTGTATTGTGTAAAGTAAGGCATTATACGATATGCCGTAATTATTTGTGTATAAGTAATGCATTATTCAATATGCTATAATCTTCTATAGATTGAACATAAGTAGTCGTACTAAGTATTTGTCATTATTTATGCGACATGTGTAATACATAAACATATGTTTATTTCTTAAGTATAGTATTGTATCTTAACGTACAGTATGTATTTCAATAGGTCCCAGTTTGCGGGCTAGGTGTATGTAGATTTGTATTGTAAAGTATGGAGATATAGTACAGATGGTGGTGAAACCTGTTGACAGTGCGGCGTTCCGTGTTTATCATCAATAGTTTGGCAACATAGAATATTTGGAGTCGAGTCTAGACAATAGGGCAGCCGTAATGTGTACACCGCTTATGTTGGGCCAGTTTTGTGTAGTTACCGAAAACCAAATACGTAAAATTCCGTAGTATCGTTTATCCAGATTTCATAGTTTAATATAAAGAAGAAGGAACAGTTCATTAAACATTTGACAGTATTATTTCATTTGATTTCATCTATTTATATTTGTAAATTTGTACCTAATTAAATTGTTATTTGTTTAAAGTAGTAGTCATTTATTATCTGTAAGTACAAACTCCTAAGTCAGCTCTCGTCTATCCGTGACAGATAGATCTTGACCAATTAAACAATTTTACCCAATGTCAGATTTGCTCTAAAAGATTTAGTTTTTGAGATATAAGCCAAAAACTGCATTTGACCCCTATGTTCTATTTTTAGCCATGGCGGCCATGTTTGTCGATGGATCAAAACTTCGGATACAATTTATAAACTAGATACCCTAAGGAACATTTAATTAAAGTTTGAAGGTATTTGGCCCAGTAGTTTCAGAGGAGAAGATTTTTGAAATAGTTTACGACAACGACAGACGACGACGGACGCCAAGTGATGGCATAAGCTCACATGGGGCCCTTTGAATGGTTTGTGAAAAAGAAGGGGGGTGGGGGTTACCCAAGGGGACTTTCCCTCAATTACATTTGATTTGTTTTATTGTCACATTCAAGAATATATATGGTTTAGGGGTGGGGATCTCGACCGTTTACATGTTATCAAAGAGAAGGGGGTGGGGTTTACCCCCATGGACTTTCCCTATATTTCATTTGATTTGTTTTATTGTCCCATACAAGAATATATATGGATTAGGGGTGGGGATCTCGACCGTTTACAAGTTCTCAAACAGGAGGGGGTGGGGTGACCCCAGGGGACAGGCCTTTTATTTCATTTGATTTGTTTTATTGTCCCATACAAGAATATATATGGTTTCGGGGTGGGGATCTTGACAGTTTACAAGTTTTCAAAAAAAGGGGGGGTGGTCGCCGACGACGACAACATGATACCAATATACGATTTTTAATTTTTGCGGTCGTATAAAAACCTAAACTTTTCTCAAGCAGTCGATGAACCATTAAAATGTGATCTAACATGGCCAACCAACATATGAAGGACAGAAACATTGTAACAAAAGGCATCTGTATACGATTTATGAAACATCCAAGTCTACTGTCTACTACCCTATGAAATATGCATTGTAAAGCTTAATTATACAAATAGTAAAACTCAGCAGCCACTACCATATGCATAGACTTCCCTTTTTTGAAATTGCCTTGGAATTCAGTATTTTCGTTATTGTTATACCATTTGGACTATTAATACTGTAACAAATATACATACCAGTTACATGTACATGTACTGTAGCTATAGGATCTCCTCTACGTCTTATCCCATCATTAATCATGTTAATTTCATTGAAACATATGATGTGTATTACTTCCATTCCACTGATATCTGAGGAGCTAATTCTGAAAATTTAAATTCCTGTGATTATCATGTAAAACACCTGAGCCTGATGCACTGCTTTCCGATAAAAATAAATTGGCAATACAGTTCTCTATTGGTCATGTTGGTGAATATTTCAAAAAAAATATTTAACAAGAGAGAAATTAAGTGTCTGATTTTTTAAAAATTTATATTACCAATACTGGTAATTAGAATGTCACTAGTTTTCTGATTTGAATTGACATTTGTTGTTGCTCATTTTTACAGGATCTTTTAGAGCTGACACTACAGTATGGTTTTGTTCATTGTTGAAGATCATACAGTGACCTAAAATTTCTTACATCCCCTTCATTTCGACTGGCAGAAAGTTTTCTCATTGGCAATCCTACCCATCTCCTTATTTTTAAAATACTAAATATTTTCAATCTGTGACAATAAAATTTTATTGATTTAATATAAAGGTATTCTGATCAACACTATGAGGCAATGTTCAAAACACTCTGTCATTGTCAGTGATCAAATTTATTTTAACTCCAATGGCAATGTATTTGTGCAAGACTCAAAACTAAGTACTGTGCATGTACATGATGCACCACAATCTGAATTCATACATATACAATGTACTTAATAAATCAGTGAGACATAAAATTCGTAAGGGTTCCGCGGAACCCAGTGTCTAGCCTACTTTTGCTGTTAATCGCAGGCTCAACGAAAATGAGATGAGGAAAAAATTTAATAAAAATATTCCTCTCGATACAATTTTTTATTGTAAGAAGCTTCTGTCCAAGTTTGGTAAAAATCCAGGATAGTTTATGAATCTAATAAATGTTTTTAAAAATTTAACTGCAGACTGTATGTAATGTGAACTGGAAGAAAAACTAAGTCCATTTATAAGTAAAATATGGATAAACAAGTACAAAATTTTAATAAAAATTTCCTTCTAGATACTAGCTTTTGATCATAAACAAACTTCTGTCCATATTTGGTACAAATCCAGGATAGTTTAAGAAAGTTATTAAAATTTTTAAAACTTTAACCACAGAGTGAATGTTATGTTTCCTGGCAGAAAAACTAAGTCCATTTATAAGTAAAATACGAAAAAACAGGATTTTTTTTTTAAATTTACTTCTTGATACTATCTTATGATCATGAACAAGCTTCTGTAAAGGGTTTGGTAGAAATCCAGGATAGTTTGAGAAAGTTATTAAAATTTTTAAAACTTTAACCACAGAGTGAATGTAATGTTTCCTGGCAGAAAAACTAAGTCCATTTATAAGTAAAATACGGAAAAACAGGAATTTTTTTTTTATAAAATTTTTTTCTGGATACTATCTTGTGATCATAAACAAGCTTCTGTCCAAGTTTGGTAGACATCCAGGATAGCTTAAGGAAGTTATTAAAATTTCAAAAACTTCAACCACAGAGTGAATATTTGTGGACGCTGCCGCCGCTAACGGAATGTAGGATCGCTATGTCTCGCTTTTTCGACAAAAGTCGAAGGCTCAACAAAAATGTAGGTCAAAAAGATATCATGATGCATCATAATTTATACAATGCAAGTCATAATCATGTACATGATATTTGAACTTTATAATAGTAAAGGATAGATAGTCTGACCAGTAATAAAGCCACACAACACTGTGTGACAACAGTGAAATATAAGTCCCTTATAGATGCACATACCATTATTGTAGGTCTTTTGTATATATACAATGTATAGATAATACGTTTAAGGTTACTTAGAATTGGCTGTCGACATACATGTACACATGCCAGTACTGTCAGGCATGTTCAGAGTCATTGGACACTAGGTTACTCCAGTCCATTATCAGTCACTATCAATAATCAACTCCTCTGTCCATTTGTTGTAATACAATGTACTGCTGAAAGGAAGAAAACAGTGCTTTATTAACAGCAAGTGGATGCAAGACTATAAAAAGTATTCAAAGAGTTTTGCTCATAATTGAAGGCCGTACCGTGACCTGTAGTTATTTACTTCTACGTCATTTGATCTCGGATGGAGAGTTGTCTAATTGGCAATTATACCACATCTTCTTATTTTTATATTATATTCAAATTAATGTATGGAAACCAGAAAATCCTTGTTTTTGGGCCCTAAATTCATTATTGTATATGCAACTTGTCATGGTAAAACTATACAACAACCATGATTCATGACAATTACCAAATCAATATCTCCAAGTATAACAAACAAAGAAAGTGAAAAACAGATTATTTGCCTGAATTTTCTAAGTCCAAGGACCATAGCTACATGTATGCAAAGAAAATCATCTCAACAGAATAAATATTGAACTTGATCTGTAAATTTGTCATGGTAAAACTATATACAATGTATAAATATCAAATCAATATTTTCAAGCATTACTTCAAGTCCCCTTGGCTTTGCTGGTAAGGGACTAATAAACATTTTAATATTTGTTATCATGGTTTTATCTTTTTCAATCATGCATGTATGTTTTTCAATTTTAAGAAATAATTGTTTTTTTAAAAGTTGCATGTACATGATGTAAATTCTCAAAGTATAACCTGTGACGAAAAGTTGGTTATACAACTTCAACTAAAGTGTGTGTCCTTGTGTTTGTGCTGTGTTGTTGGGTGTATTAGTTTCAGGTCGTGCCTTTCACTCGTACACAGTGTCACTGATTACAGTGTTACAGGATTACCCTAGAAAAGAACTGGTAGCGTGATTGAGGGAATCCTGGTGTAGTCTGAACGAAGTCTTGCCAGTGAACATAAACACAAAGTTAATTAAAAGTTCAATACTCATTACTGAATTATTCAAAATCCAAAGTAACAGTAATATAAGTTTACAACATCTAAACTGCAGGCTCAACAATACAGTGGCATAATCTTAAATCTCTGAATACATTTCTCTCGTACACAAAATCATAGCTCCTTCTCTACAGGTATTTCTCTCTTTCATACCTCTATTTGCCCTAGTAACCTGATTACAATATGGTAAAATGACTCTGAACAAAGAAATAATCAACCGGAGCTAGGGCTACAGGAGCCCGGAGCTGAGGTCAATTCATAGAATCATACATTATTTTCTCAAACCATGAGTTGGATGACGAACATGACGAAGATGGAATTTTTTCTTCGAGTTTTCTTGTTTTGTATCAACTTTTGAGTATACATGTGTGTGTGTCTAATGAGTGTTTATCTTAATTGGAGTTTTACAACTGTGAACTGATCAGGTCAAAAGTTGAAAAACATTCTCACTATATCTGTTTATTCTGCACTATTAAATCATTTATTTGAGTTACCTGTATTATTTCCGCGAGTATCTATGCGTTCATAGCTCCTTGATTGTGTTTGTCTCGTTAAATAAACAGAAACAAGTATTTGTTCAAGTTGTTGTCAGTTGGCTACCGGCGTCTTCAAATTTGCATCATTCATCTGAATCTTTCAAGCGTTTTAAAAACCGATCTCCGGTCCCGGTAGTTTCTACATAGAAAAACCACTTAAGAAAATCGAATGGAAAAGACTAGTAGGAATAAAGATCAAGGAATACTGGAAAAATGAATGTCACTATGAAAAAATGGAAAAAGCATCCCTTAAATACATAGAGATACAGAACAATCCATTAAATGAAGCACACAATATATGGAAAAGCGTAAAAAACAATAGTAAAGATGTAAAGGCAGGAGAAATAAAAGCAAGAATAAGTACTCAAACGTACATATTACAAGCCAAAAGAGCTAAGTTCGATCCGAAAGTTAACCCGATATGTACAATCTGTGAACAGGAAAATGAAGATCTGGAACATTTTATTCTACGCTGAAGAATTGGAGCAAATAAGATCTAAATATTGCTCAAAAATAGAACAGACAAGGACATAAACTGTTACTCAACTGTGTATGAAAGCATTGAAACTCTGGCTAGAAATATGTGCTACGAGATGCACATGCTGCGCACAAAAAGGATTAACAACTTGAACACAAGTACAGTATAAATAAACTTTTTTAAAATAAAATAGTTCCCAACTTTTCCATCTTACTATTTTATGACGTATTAGGACCAAAATTAAATAAAAAAAAGTTTTGCAAAGTTTTAAGATATCCAATCTAATTAAAATTATATCTCCGCACTTGCTCCTCGTTGTTTATATGTCGCGCGTCGGAGCAATCTGATTAAAATTATATCTCCGCACTTGCTCCTCGTTGTTTATATGTCGCGCGTGGGCTCCCACGCGCGACATATAAACAACGAGGAGCAAGTGCGGAGATATAATTTTAATTAGATTGTAAGATATCCAGTTACCTTTAAAGAATAATGATAAGATCCGAAATAAGGTAACCTTAAACTGTGAAGGTAAACTTATGTATATATGATGAATTGTTCTAAACCCCAACCCTTTTACATAAGTCCTATAAAATAACCTTCTCATTATAAATTCTGATGTACGTATAGCACCTTTAACTAACAATTATAAGAAAGTTTAATTTAAGACCACTTAAATTCTAAATTCTTATATGTAAATATATCCAGTTCTTACTTAACTTATTCTTACACTTCAGCACATTATGAATATTATTTTTAAAAATTCATGATGACAATCCTATGAATTAGTTATAATATTAATTTATAGTAATTATTATTGCCTAAATTCAGTCATCTGTACATAATTAAATGCTTACTTATGTTCTAAGGTGTATATAGTTGCTACAATTATACCCTATGGGTAGTGCTTAATGGAGGAATATACAAGAAACTGAACCCGGATATCGTCACGAAGAATAGTTATCCATGTGCAAATAGGTACATGCTGGTTTCCCCATTCAATAGACCAATATCCAATGTTTCTTAGCATAATCAGCTTCCCGACTTTACTGACTCAATTCAGTTTTAAAATGATATTTACTGCTTAAAGTCCTGACTAAGTAAGACATATAAATGAACAAATAACAAATTCTTTTGTTTACAAGCATCCTTTACATAGGAGCACCCCTATAGTAGAGCATAAAGTTTAACCCTTAAAACTATTTGATATATTTTAATATATATAATATAAACTATATTGTTAAATATAATTTCAATGAAGTCATTTCATTTAGTTGAAGAATATATATGTTTAATCCAATTAACAGCCTGTCTAATTGGCAATCATACCCTCACATTTATTACAGCTAAATAATATTAGAGACATTATTTAGTATATACATATGCCTCTGGTAATAATTTAATGTCAATCAATAATTTTTGATAACATACATAGCACATTAATGCATTTGCCTGGGACACTATATGTAAGGACTTAAAATATGTTTATTATCTATAAATTTTAAAAGATAATAAAAAATATTTGAAAATTATACAGCATTTTTAGGTGTAAAATTTCTGGTTTTACATGTTTCAAGACTAGTTTTTTTTTTTAATTAATAATATCAGATCTATCAAAGTTGTAAATTTAACCAACCATTCGCTATAAATTAACAAATTATTTCAGACAATCCTTAATTATCTTCTTAAAACATACTTATTAATAAGCCAAATAAAAATATACATTGGTGGATCCAGAACTTTTCATAGGGTGGGGGGGCACTAACTGACCTAAGGTGGGTGCCGCTCCGGTCATGCTTCAGTGATTCCCTATATAATCAACCAAAATTTTTCCCACAAAAGGGGGGGGTGGCAGAGCCCCCTGGATTCGGCTATGATATGTGTGTGGTCCACTCACCGTTACCCTAACTACCCTACTTTTTAGTCTTAATAATAGCCTACCCTAAAGATTTTTTTGTCATTTTTCATTAAGCACTGTTAAGTCAGAATGTTACTCCCATAGACTCAATGTAAAAAAAACACAACATAAAATTTAAATAAATCCCTACCTAGTTACTACTGAAATTATAAAATTAATATTTAGTTTAAAATTTTTCCCATTGATTGACAAACCCTGACAACTCAAAAGGAAAAATTGAGAAATCTTGATCATTATAAAAAGGTTTATAAAATATTTTGAAGTGTACCAACACATAAATTGCAATCCAGTTGATACACATGCAATCCCTGAGAGAAGATATTTTTTTCTTTTTTCTTCCTTTTTTTAGATGAGGGAGTAGTTAGCATTTACCGCTTTTGTAATACTCATTAAATCAAACATTTTTCATATTTCTGAAAGCAAAGCAGTTTTAAAAATATACTGCACTTCCAATATATATACTTTGATAAACATTCAATTTTACATTTATTGACAACATTTGGCCCAATAAAATTCTTTTCAGCACACTTACATATGTTTATTCATATGTCCTATTGTTAAACTTATGTGTGGTTCAAAGCTCAAAATTGTACTTGAATTATAAGTTTGAGGAAAAGTTTAATACACAGCAAAAAAGGGAGATAACTCAGGTTTTGAAGTAACTGATATTCATTATCATTTTTTTTCTTAGCAATTATGGAAAGTAAAGGATCTTAATTACAGTAACAGGAATCTATTTCATAAGCTGGAGTTACCTCCCATATTTTATAAGAGAACAAAAATAAAGAAAACTTTCAATGTGTGAAAGAAATTAAGTTTACTGATAAATCAATAATAGCCCATCAATATAATCTAGGTATCCAGGAATTTGAAATCAAAGATACAAATTCTACCCTTATTGCTCTACTAGAGATAAATATAAACAGTGATAGGAAATACAACTCAAAACCAACACTGATCTTTTTGTAGTTGCATCTAATCCACAATCAAGGGAGATAATTCATGCGAAATAAAAAGATAAATATTAATCATTTGATGGTTATATGTCCCCCTTTTATGTAAATTATATTAAAGTGTTAGTTAAAATGTTCTCCTGAGTATGTTTTTAAAATGTTTATTGTGAAATTTTGTTAGAATTTGTTAATTTTTGTATTCCAAACAAATAAAATATCTATATTCTTATTCTAATTCTTCTTCAATAATTATTTTCACATTTTGGCGATTATGTCAAAATGGCAATAATTAGTGCACACACTTAATTATTTAAAACCGTGATTTTATCTTGTGCAAAACCAACCACGTAAGCACATTATATAAAAAATTAGCCTCAGTCAGATCAAATGAATTTCACGTGATTTTCACGTTAGTCAGATCATGTGAAATTCACGTGAGTCAAATCATGTGAATTTCATGTGAGTGAGATCACGTGAAATGAGACTCACGTAAAATTCACGTGAACAAAATTTGCCTGTGTAGTCAGCTGTAAAAGGCGCCGACATAAAAAATGGGAAACAATTCAAACGATAAAATTAACGGCCTTATTTATACACTACATTTTACGAAAAACAAATATGACAGAAATGAACTAACGACAACAACATTTACGGGCTACTGACTTTGAACAGGTAAGTAAAGAATGTGGCGGGGCTAACATGTTTGTAAGCGCTCAACACTATCCTAACCTGGGACAGTGTTGTTACAGTACAGTACAAAAGAACAAACAGTAAAAGTTAGTTGCAAATGACCTAGCTCAATAAATCGGTACGATGCGACAAAAAAATATCTAACACAAACACAATAGACAGAAAGCACCGAGATAAGTTCGCAGTTACTAATGTCATAGCCTATTACAACTTCACTAAAAAAGAAAAATCATGTTTTCTAAAACAGGTTTTTTTCAACGTATAGTTTAGCGTGAAATATTTCATAAGAATAATTTAAGGCAATTTCGTTAATATTACACATGAAGACTTATCCTAGAATTAATGCCTCATTATAATTGCATCCTCTTAAATTCCATTTTTTTATAGAATTCTGAGAAAGATGAAAAAGTCCTATCTGATAAATTCATCAATGATCTGAATTTCTGTCTCAGCCAATTTAAAGTTTTTAAATTTATTCATAGAAATTTTCTCAAGAAGTAAGTCGTGTACAATTTCACATTCAGTCGCGTTTAAACCCCATTTCTGACCTTACAAATTAAAAAGAAAACAAAAACAACCTCATTTTAATGTTATAAAAATTCATCCTTTTAGAAGATTTAAATATAACAGTCAAGTAAAATAACCAATTAATGATCGGTGAATTTGATTATTTGTTTACAATTAGATGAATAAATTATTCCTTTAAGAGGTTGCTGTCAATAAAATCGTCTAAAAAGTAAAATCACAAAAATACTGAACTCCGAGGAAAATTCAAAACGGAAAGTCCCTTGATAAGTGCAGAAGATTTGTCTTAAACCAGGTCACCCTTGGTAAACTCAGAGAGTTGATAAGGTTTAAAGAGCCTGGTACCTACCCTTCACTAGGCATTGAAGTGGACGTACACATTTATACTAGACGTGATTCCTTATTTATGCTCGTGCAAAGACAACAAAATGTCCCACTTTAGAAAGGGCTATACTGCCGGACAGATGAAGTCCATGGATATTGCTATACCACAGTCAATCTTTAAGGTTCATTTTAAAAATGTATCACACTAAAAAATATTATTGATTTGAAACAG